CTGCTGGGTTCAAGGAGGAAATAAGTGAAACTGCAGGTACGCCAAGCACGTGGACTTGGATCCAGAGCTCCCAACAGTGCTGTCAGCTCCAAGACGAAACAAGAGCACTCAGGGGGGTAAAAAGTAATCCCTGTATTAACCAACCCGCTTATTCCAAGACCTACATCATTCACTGCTGCATCCTGGCCAAACTGATGCTAAGGCTCTGCTGGAATCTCACAGACTGGACTCTCTCCACACGTTGAACCACATGAGTTTTGTCTCCCCCCTTCAGCCAGCAGTTCGGCAGCACCACTGTGTGTTTGAAAAATAGCCTCCAAGGTCTTTCTTATTCAGTCCAGCCTCGTTTCCCTCCCCAAGAAGAGAGAATTAAACTATTACTTCTTGTCCCCACAGCTGCCCTACCCCATTTTACACACCTTGTCACCACTGAGGCAAGAGGAGGGCAGGGTACTCAGGCGATGGGGCAAGCAAAGGAAGACCGGGAAGGTAAAGGTGGCGTCTGTCCTTCCACTGCACCCTTCTTCCACACAAAGCCTTTCTCCCTTTCACCCCCCGTGTTGTGCCTCTGCACCCACGGTCAACCACATCAGCAAGTGTTCACTTCACAGATTGCCTTCAAGTTTGAGAGCGACAGTCCCCTTAGAGATCCGCAAAGCAGCTCTTTACCCAACTCCTTGAAGAGGTGTGCATCAAAGACAGTGTGCGCACACCGGCTGTTAATTTAACAGGTTGCAGAAAAGCTGTTGATTTTATTACCCTATTACCAATTCAAGAGGACACCAATAAAGGTTTTATTTTGCAGTACGAAGTGCCAGCCCCGTAGCTGGCAACATTCTCAAGCTGTGTCAAGATGCTTCTGGTTTTGTTTGCTGTCTGATATCTTGGGTGTTATCTTTCAAGGCATCAAGCCTACCACCTTGGGGATGCTCTTCAATGAGCTACCGCCGGTGTTTGGGTTTCCATTTGACAATTTTGATAGAAAATCGCAACACGGGTGAGACCGGGAAGCAGACAGCATTCTGTACTCTGCAAGACTGGGCTCTGAGGATACAGAAAACACCTGTGTAAAGGCAGCCTTTTGGCCAGGGGTATTTGTGAGCTCAGACACGTAACTGCTGTGATACTGGAAAGAGTTTGTCCGTTTTCATTTCCTTACCAACCAACTTAGACCCAAATAACTTACACATGAACTACTAAGAAATCTGAGCACGCCCAGCTGAGAAAGGAGAGGAACCTGAAACCAGAAAGATTTCAAACACCACCACATTTGATGTAGCTGTGACACCAGACCAGATGGATTGCCGTTGCAGTCCAGGATCCCGTCACGCACCGCATTCACGCCACAACAGTGGAAACAGTTTACCTGAAGCACAGTGAATAATCAAGCACCGATTCCTCTCTCCGAGCGCTCTTCTTGCTCTCCCTTCTTCACTCAAGTCTTCGTTCCAAAGTATTTCCAGAGGATGGAGTTGAATGCTGCCAGGTAGAGCAGCAGCAAAACCATATGTAGATACAACCCAGAAAATAGGCAGCACACGTGGGAATTTTCTTCCTAACCTCCGTAGTAAGAGGTTGCCTTTGCACCTCAAAGCAGACAGCTTTGCATGTCCCTACTTAAGTTAAATGTAAATATTTAATGTAAACTAGGTATTATTATGTGTCCACAAAGATATCTTAACATTTTAGAAAACCTATTGAGCTCCTGCTCTCAGCAGCACCTTGAGGCCGTAGGGTCTATAAAATAAAAAAGATTTCCACTCTTTTCATTTTAAATTGCTTGGCTTCAAACGCTTTGGCTGGGGCTGTGTCTTTAGGCACACAAAAAGAAAAAGTCCATGATTTAATTTCTCTACACTGTTTGTTCATTTGCACAAGTGTCTCCAAATCATCTCCTCTTCAAATTTGACCAGTCTTTCTGTTTACCAAAAGACTTTCTTTGTCTGAAACCACTGTCATTGCCTTTCTAAAGACCTCATTCCCTTACTCCCACCCAGGATCTACCCAGAGACAAGGGCAAACAGCGTGGTGTACACACGGCCAAGCAATGACATCCTCATTTGCCACCGCTTCATTCCAAGTTGGCTAAGCTGAGTTTGAGGCTCCCCGGCAATGTTTGTTTGTTTTAATAGATATCTTTAATGGATTGTTAAAGGGAGTCAGTGCAGTTCTTGGATATCTCATGGGTGGCCTGGCCTGGAGACACCAGCCACGCGTTATGCAGAACCTGTGTTATGGCCCAACACATCTCATGTACCAGCAACGGTAACAGAATATCAAACTGTCAAGTGCTCCAATAGCTATAATGCATTACATCCCACGGAAAAATCATCAGAAACCAAACTCCTGGTGAGGAATCTATAACACCACTTTCCACAGCATTTAATTAAAAGAATAAAAAAGAGCAAACAAGCGAGAGCGAGCTGTGAAGTCTGAGATGCGCCTTGCTGCCTACGCACTCACGCACAGAGGGTCTGAAAATCACTGGAACATCCTTCAAGTTGATGAGCTCATCTGTTGCATCGATGGGAATCGCCAATAAATACTGATAGGGTTTCATTGAAATTCAGTGCTCATTTATAGATACAGTCATTTATATTCACAGCATGGCACCGTGATTAACCCTTTCATTGAAGCCGTAATTCCAATGAACGCGAACTGGCTGGACACATACAGCATGTAGATAATAAGCTCTACTACAGTAACAGCACACCTTGGTCAGGAAAACCAAGCACATCTTTCATCTTCATTTAGCTGTGAAGGGGTTACATTACAGTAGCTCCTACTGCACCCCTGCTATTGAAGCCTTGCTGAAAATTAAATGCCACCAGCAGCGCTACTGAATTATGCTCTAAAGTTTACAGGCAAACTACAGAAGCTTGTAAAGTGCCAGGGGACTTCTCCGGTTTAATTACGTAGACCCTGTTCCATAAATTGCTTGAATGGAATAAATACAAATAGCATTCCCTGCTTTGTGACCTCTTTGGGTTAATGAAATGCACACAAACACCCACAGTCTGCTATGGCTCAGGAATTCCGCAGCATAAACACAGAACCTCGCTGGAAGCCGGAGTCAGGATTCAAGCCTCGGTATGTACAGGAGAACCGGCTGCCTGGACTCAGCAAGGAAATAATTTGTTGTTTATATTCTGCTGCTATTCTAAGCTGCAGACAGTAGGAATTGTGTGCGATTCACCAAACAGGGAGAAAGACACCGAGATTGTGTTGTTCAGGCTCTAATTAGCAAATCTGCTTCTCTTACCCAAAGAGGTGTTTGAGGTAAGAGAGGCTGAGGAATGCCATGAATCAATAAGCGATCCACCCTTGGCTTTGGGAAACGCGAGATCTTGGAACTGCTGCTGCTGTACCTGGAGACGCTTACCTCCATCCTCCGGACATATTTGGGAATAAAGACTTGAGCGAAGAAGAGAAAGCAAGAAGAGCATTTATGGAGAGGAATCCGTACTTGTTTATTCATTCTCTTGCATGTAAATAATTTCTATTGCCATGACTGATCCTACTGGAGATAAACTACAGAGAAGCCAGCCAGCTCTTCTCCGTGCTGCCAGGGTGAAATTTTCTCATGTTTTCTTAACTTTCTCCAAGCACACCATCTCTCCTACGATGCGGAAAGAACCGGTAGTTGTACTGTCTGGGCATGGCATCCAACAGACATCTCCAGGAGTCTGCTAAGTTTCATTCACTAAATGTTTAACCCTATAGGCGTGAGGACAGGCCTCCGGAGGTCTTAGAGCTAAGAGCATTGCACCACCTCAACAGAGAACTGTTTTCAGGATTCAAGGACAGTACCTTAAAACCAACAGAGTTCTCCTCCTCCTCCCTGGACACTGAGCTTTCTTTTCTGATTGCCATTTGTCTCAGTTAGCCCAGAAACTACACAAGGCCAAGTAATACAACTGCTTGGGGGCTATTTTCCGAGTTTTACTAAGGATCCCAGCTGTTGTCTTACACTTGTCCTCACTTGCTTTATTTAGTTGTTTTGGGCTTTTTTTCCTGAGGCTTTAAAGTTGCAGAACGGGAGAATGTTTGTCCCGTTAGGTAACGAAACAATACTGCAGCAATCCACATGTGGCAAACAGCAGAAGGTCTGCAGAAACAGAACTTCTCCGGGTCCTGCTTGTAGAGTCCCTCCTGTACTGAACGCCTCCAAACCCCTCATCCTCCTCAGAAATGAGACTTACCCCAGGGAGCCCAGTGGGAGGAAGGTATGTTCTTAAGTGCCACTTGCATTTGCTATTGAGGAGAAAGTTCTCCCATTGACCTGTAAATTTCGGTTGACACCTGAACCAACGTAAAGCTGGAACTTAACAGCTTGGCGACCCTAATGTCACACCTCAGCTCTGAACGTATCACCCCGACTGTGCTAACTGGAAGGCGACGCAGAAGAAAAAAACAGCACCTATCAAGCCAGAACCCAACCCCAGACCACCCAGGTAGACCAATAAAGGTATCAGACTGACAGAAGACAGACTGTTATTGCTACTTATCTGTGCTGTTCACATAAATGGCACTTCACACACACGAGGATGAGTTGCTGCTCGAAAGGGATTCCAATTTACATAAAGACAAGATGATGACACGCAGACGAGCTAGAGGGTAGCAAAGACAGTGAGGACATATATCTCACAGTGAAGTAAGGATGAAACCTTGATGGTTACATAAGGTTTTATTGCCGCAGCATATATAACTGATAATATAAAAAGGTGAAGTGCAAGGCCAGATGCCTCAGGTATTACGCATATATAGTCTCTTCTCTTTACTCCTGAATTTGATATATAAGTGGGAGACCAAATGCCAAACCTTCTAAGGTCGTTTTTTAAAAGAGGAAAGGATCTTTACTTCCCTCATAAGGAACACTGTCATGTAGCAGGGGGGCGGTGATTTTCCAGTCGAATCACTGAGGAAGAGCAAATATATTCTGGCATGCTGAAAAGCACGAACCCAAAGAAGTTGGCGCAGTGAGGGGTGCACAGACCTACCTTAAAAAGCAGGCAGTCCCCTTGGTGCTCGGCGTAAATGGAGGTGAGTCGATACTGGTTCTCAGTCGTGATGTCGATCTGGTACCCCGTTAGCGTGTAGCACACCTTGCGAAACTCCTGGATCTTGGTCTGGAAAACTTCTTTCAGACGCTGGTTTTTCAGTTCTGCACTTTCCACTTGCTTCTTCAGCTCTGTGTAGGGGAAGAAAATGGGTATTTTGTTATATGCCATCAGCACAGAGCCCTTGCGTTGTATTTACGGTGCTAGCCAAACTAAGTGAATTGAAAAGGTTAATTAAATTTTTTAAAAGTGAATTAAGCAGGCAGAATAAAGACACAGGCAAGCTAGATCCCTCTCCTCCTGGTCCCAGCAGACCAAGAGATAATAAACTGGGGAATAAGGAAAACAGGCGTGTCCCGGCGGGATGGATTTTCCTTTTGCTCAATCAGCCTTTAACAATGTGCTACAAAATTCAAAGCTAGAGCATCCTCCCCCCTGTCCCGCCCCAGCCCCATCTTATTTTCTACATGGAACCCAAGAGAAGGGTGTTACACTACAGGAAGTAAGAGACCGGAAAACCAGTAAGAAATACGCCTCTGTATGGCAGCATCAGGAGGAAGCTGTCTGTAAGGGAAATCTCCTCCAACGTACTCTTGATTTGACTATAAGTGCTTTGATCTCAAATTGACACACTGCTTAGGAATCCCTTAAGATTTGGGCAGGGGCTTTTATTGTGAGAAAAAGCCTGAAGAGTACCGCTGCCTCTTCGCATTTGCTACCTTAACTGGACTAGTCCCGCGCAGAGAGGTCCTGTGAGACTGCCTGCCGCTCACCCTGTATTTTATTGCTACAAAGGGAGCTGCCAGCGCTGTGAATCCTTCAAGAGGATACACAACAATTACCATGAATCTTTCACCCAAGGTGCCTTCTGAGTAATTAAACCTCGATTTATCCCCCCATTAATTACAGAGATTGGCTTTACTTTAATATACACTAGAGATGTCTCCCAAGTCAGCCTGTTTTATCAACACCGCAGTCCAGGGTTGGAAAAAAACCCTGACTCTTTCTAACAGCAAACAAATAGACTTCCTCACTCGGATACCTCTTTGTCATTCTGAGCTTTACGGCTTTGGGCTCTGATCAGAGACATAACCGCAGCACATGTACGCCACGTGTCTTTGTTTCAGCTAGTTTAGGGTCCAGCACGAGGATACCATAAACTTTGGTGCAAGGTCACTGCTTGAGCACCACGGAAGGTTTCTGTCCAGGCTTATACAGCCCACGCTAAAGTATTATTGTTTCTCGAGCAAGCGGGAAAAGTTTTTTGCTCAAGTATTTGCCAGAAAGTGTTTCCACTACTCCCAAGCATAGCGCAGGAAGCACGTAGGACGGTAACTGCAAAGCCAAGGACCTGCCTGGGATTCACCTCGGAGCAGCTGCAAGCGCACCAGGAGAATGCCAATCTCCTCTTATCTTCTGTACTGCTTTAGTTAGGCGCTCCGGGTGGGACAAAAGGATAATTCAAAGTGTTAAGTTAAAGTGCCTTAAATGCCACTGAGGATGCCCCTGCTCAGAAGTACTTTGGCCTTAATCCAATTCAGCCTAATCCCCAGGCAAGGACAGGAACTCTTTAATGGTTAAAGAGAACTACATGTCCCTTTACTTCTGAGCGAGAGCATCCACGCAGGGAGAGTTAATGCTGGCCAACTCCCTACCTTCGGTTAATTCACCTCCACCTTCCTGAGCGGCTTGTGGAGATGATGTACGAGCAAAGCATTTCCTTTACTCTGTGTCCTCCCCCAGCTCTACCTCGCTTCACCAAGGGGAGCAAACCAGTCTTGGGGAACATCACATACCAGTTTGTTCATTAAAGCACTGCTATGCAGGGAAGCCCCCAGTTTCTGGGGGAGTTAGGGCAAATAGAGCATCCAAACCCTGCCTGCGAGCCCGAAGGGTTGAGGGTTACACACATGAGCTTGAAAAGGCTGTGTCTTTCCTGCCCACCCACCGTCCCGTTCCTACCAAACTTATCACTGCGTGACCGACTCAACCCTTCCTTGGAGTGTTACCACCTCTTCCCCATCATCTCAGCTGGGTCTGGGCCTTTGATTAATTAAGTAATCAGCCTCTGAAATCAGGAGGTTAATTGGCAGCTCTGACCTCAATATTCTCGCAGTCTTCATTCAGCCACGCAACTGTTAAGGACAAAATCCTATATACGAAAGTAAAAATTCAGTGACCACATTGCAGTGGTAAATAACATTTCGCCACTGTCGGAGACAGCACTGCCTTTAATATATCGCACATGTCCAACAGTGATATTTTTTTTCCCTAATAAATGCAGCCTAGCCTTGGAAAAGTAAATCTGCCTTTTCCTCCTGCATCTCGGAGGCTGCCTTTCCTGACTTTTATAACCTTGGAGGTGGATGGCACCTTAATTCATGAACTCCTCAAACAGCTTTCGTTATTCATGAAGAGTTAGCGCCTTTTCCCACTGTTTTGTCTCTCAGACTTGGTACTGCTAATGGCCATCAGGAGCATCCTGGCACCCGTTGGGTTGCAGTCTTATCACCCACCCACCAGCGTTGGCCGAGTTAGACTACACCCTTGTGCATGTAGAATAGCAACTAAGCGATGGCACCGCTTCCCTCCGCTACCCTCGGGGCAAAAAAGGAAAAACTCTGACTACAATCAGTTTTTGCGCAAGAAATCCTGAGCTTTTCAGTTTAACTGAAGGACGAGCAAGCCTTCGCTCCTGACAGCGTGCCCCCGCCTCCTCTCCACCGTTCCTCCCGGCCATCTTTCCAGTGCCTGGGGCAGTTTGGGTGTCTTACCGCACCAGCCGTCCTGGCTAAAGCAATTCACCTGCATGAAAAAAACGTTATCTCCCTGTTAGAGATGCCTCGCGTCAGCCACTGGCACAAGGTGCTGGACTCACGGTACTCAGAGTGTAGATGCAGCCGAAGGTGCCAGCACCGGCCAGGGACGGGATAAAGCCTCGTCATCCCCTCCGCGGCACCGTTAGCGATTCCCCAACAGCGTTTCTTTAGCAGCACAGCTTGGGGACGGGGCAGGAAAAAACCACAAGCAGGCACAGGGGCACGACAGGAATGGTTAAGTTTGCAACTGCCCCCAGCGAAAGGTCCGTCGAACCCTGACCGTAAAACAGAGATTGCTCTTCCTTTACGCCCAATTAACCTGCAGTGCTCAACAGTTCAGCTGTACCCACCGCTGACGCCGACCCTCCTGCAGTATTTATCCACCCTGTGGAAACAATTCAGCTCGGGGCCGTTCTCGGATTAACTCAGGACAGTGTTCAGGACCATCCCCGCTCCCCCACTTTCCGCCGAGGGCTCTGCCACCACAACCAAGAAGCCACATTGCGAGGAGGATTCACGGGAGAGTAACTTGGTAGGAGGATAACCTGAGACTTGAGAAATGTAGGATGGGGGCCCGCTTCTGAAACAGAGCCGTTTGGGACACCCTAGGGTACCTTTCACAGCTTCCCACCAGGTTTCTGCAATGAAAGGGATCCCCTATAGGTTCTGTGTCACACCAGCCACCCCCAGGCTGACGTCTCAGATGCTTTGGGATGTCTAAAATGCCACAGGACGCCCGTGTTTAGGCACAGGATACTCTGCACCACTGCTCTGCCCACATATGGCCCTGGCGCCGCAGGTTCCCTGCGCCCAGAGAACAGCACAAGCAGCACGTGCACCGACTCAGGGACAGGAATTAATCTTTCTAATATTTCCCCCACCGAGTGAAGATGTTAAGCTAAGAGGCGGCTCATTGTTTGCTCTGCATCTGGATTCAAAGACGTGACGGCACTAATTCTTAAGCCTCACCTAATACCGCTAATTCCCGCCAAATTTCTAGCACAGTCAGGAAAAATTGATTTAAAAGTCATCATTTGCACAGAGTGCAATTCAGCGTATTTCAGAGCGGTGTTCAAGGCACAGCCGCAGAGGCCGCTGAGCGGAGGGAGAGCCTTGCGGGACGGGTCGAGGTGCATTAACAGAGCAGGTTTCTGATGACAGCGTTACCGCTTCCACCCGCTTTATCTACCGCCTACAGAACACCGAACGTCTTGATCCTTTAAGATCTTTCACAACATTTTGAGAATTAGGTTTAATTATATCGTTAAAAGGCAGTGTTTGAAACCCAGAATCCCTGTATTTAGAGCACTCGCGTGAGGTCCTACGTTTGACCCTGTTGGGCTTTTGCAAACCAGGCGGGAGACGGTGCAGGCGTGCGTTGCAGAAGCCACGGACGGGGAAAGTCACACCACAACCATCCCGCATCCCAGAGAAGGGATGCCGAAGCATCCCTCACCGAAGCGTTAATGAAACAAATAAGAACTGAGAAAATAAGTGTGAGATTTGGCAGGCTGTGCCTCGGTCAGGGATAATGACTGGCTGTTTCCATTCCCTGGGAAAAAAAAAAAAAAAAAAAAAAAAGAGGAGAAGAGAGAGAAAATGACAATATTTGGCAATCATACTGCCCCACCTCCTTTGTATTCAGGCCAAGAGTATGCACAAAAAGTTGCCTGTCTTGGAGAGTCTGATAGGGGAAAAAAAAAAATCCTTACTGAAAAAAATCATTACCTGTTACAAAATTAGTATTACCAAATTATTAACTTCCCCCTAACGATGCCGCTTCTTGAAACACCTTGTATTTTCACACACTTATATCGACTTTAATGAATAATTCAAACTATTTTGGATAAATAAATAAAATATGAGCTGGGCTTTTTTGGTCTCATACTGAAAATGTCATTGCTTTTTATTCCACTGCTTTTACACTCCTCACATCTGAAAACATTCACAGCTGCCTGGAAATACCACAGCTTTGGCTCCTGCTCCGAGTTCAGCCAGGTCAATCAATAGCAATAGCAATCTCTACACCAAAGAAAACCAAATCCACACTTAACCTTTTCCCCAGGGAAAGGGGAGGAAACAATGTAGCTCTCAGCGTGCCAAAAGTGGCATGAAATTAAACCTATCACCAGTCTTTTCCAGGAAAACACAAATTTGTTCTGCCCGCCCTCAAAGATGCCACAAGCCATGTAGCTGCATTAATTCCCTCGCGATCCCAGCTCACGTCTCTCTCTCTCAGAAAGGCCTGAAGTCCTTTCTAACTCTCAGTTAAAGGTTACTTTCCCTCACTAACATGTTTGGGGGTCGCTCAC